CTCAAATTTGTGATCTGCTACCTTGGATGCTTCAATGACTGATTGAATGGCATTGTCCAATTCTTCAACCCTATGCTGGGTATTTTGCACCGTTGCATCTAGTTGATGAGTAACATTGCCTATCTGAGTTTCTAGCTGGCTACAGATATTCTTTAGCTGGTCATGGTCTTCTGACAGCCTAGCCTCTAAGGCCTCAGACATGGAGGATCTCTCTGTGTTTATCTTATCATAAATACGCTGCATCTCATCAGCCAGCTCTGTCTTTAGCGTATTGGATAAGCCAAGCTTATCATCCAATTTCTGTTCCACTTGCTGCACAATTGTGGTCTGACCTAATCTGTTTTCCAAAACCTCATTGCGTAAAGCTGTTATTTCCTGCAAGCAGGTGGTGAGGTTATTTCTGTCCCTGTTCCTGAGTCCTCTGGCTAGTAATACTATTTGTACCAGCAAGCTAACTGCCATGACAGCATAAAGGCCAGTAATTGGCAAATTAGCATCCTCCTCAAACAGTGAATTCACGTAATAAGCAAAAACATTACCAATTTTAGCAAATGATAAATATTCCGCCATGATTTTACCTGATTTCTACTCCAGATGCAGTAAATATATTTGACCAGCAGGTAGCACAGGCCTTCAGTTATTCCAAGGCGTTTGGCAGCAGTCGGTCAGCGCTGGAGAGAGGTCACAAAAGCGGCTGCGCTTATCTTAGAGAATATACAGCTTTGTGGCTTTTCCCGCATGGGATGGTTCTGAGCAGCTCAGCTGCAGCAGGTCAGCTGCTAGCCGGGAGCACCTGTGGAGAGAGGGCGCTTTCCGGGCCTAGGCCTCGGGCCCGATGGAACCCACAGCAGAGCGAACCAGCCAGCCGGTGCTAGTCTGTACAGCAAGAAGCAAAGAGAGAGTGAAAGGGAAACCGAAAGGCAGACCCCCTACTCACTCTGACCACGCCCTCACAAGCCTGCCCAGGTACTCCTGTAGCCAGCCCCTAAGAAGGCGTGGCTGCAGCTTCCCCTACACAGACCACAGAAAGAAACATGAACAGATATCCATATGTTTCCCCATCCTTCACAAGAGGCCTTCTCTGGTTCTGGTCCTGGCCTCCTGTGGATCCCTGACTCACTCGTGACTCTCCACACAGCTTTCCACTGGTGAATGTTGAGTAAAGTAGGTTTTAAACTTATTGAAACGTTAGAAAAGAAAGTCTATTCATTAGATACCTGCTATTACTAACACACAGTATATTTGAATAAAAACTTAATGAAACACCAAAATAGTTGTTTTATAACTTTCTCATGATAGCATCAGTTGCCTGTATTATATGCACCAAACTTTGACTAGTAGTTTTCCAGTTATCCTCATTAAAATTGTAACTTAATTATATTGAAATAACACAATTCATAAATCACTCAGAAAGTGCACAATCTAGATATCAAGCACTTCCCAGTGCATCAGATGGGGCTTCCTGGGAGACAGAGCCACTAGAGTCGTCCACACAGGAGGAACTGACTACACAGTCCAGTACTGGCTATGTGCATGTTGCAGAGGCTGAGAGCATTAGAGGTGCTCAGTCCATGAGGCTGATTTTTCAGCAGTCAAAAAGTTTGTGCTTAAGACCTGGATGGTCCCTGGAGATCCACTTGTCTGTGCTGGGATTCCAAAGTAGCCATCAAAATGAGGCAGCAGTAGTAGCGCAGCAACAACAAAAATAACAGACATAGATGCAATTTGGGAAAGCAGGCAGGCAAGCAACATCCCTCTCCTCAGACATCTTTACATCTGGGCTACATGTTGAAGGCTCTGTTTACTCTGGGGGAAGATCTACCCTCAGCTAATCCCTTCTGGAAATGCATTAACACGTCTGCCCACAAGTCTGTCTCTTAGCTGATTCTAGCTCCCGTGTGAATTGACAGCTGCCATTAGCTGCAACACTGGCCTCCTAGAACAGAAGTGGGTTCATGTAATATTCTTTACTGGACAATGTTCCATGTCATCAAGGCAAGAATTTGTGTGTTTCTGAGTTTTATATTGGAAGTCAGGGAAAATATTCTCTATTTGTGAACACGATGTGCAATTGCTTATTTATTTCCATCTAGAGAATTTCCCTCTGTGTCCATTATTCTTAGTTATTTGAAAACAGGCAGGATACAGATTAGCATTGTCTTAGGGTAACTGTTCTTCCTATAACTCTATGAAGAGCTGATTTGAACTCTTTGTTTCTTAAGCTGTAGATAACCGGGTTGAACAATGGAGTTAGGATAGTGTAGGACACGGATATCAGAACATCCTGGCTTGAAGAGTAGCTGGACTTAGGCCTTAGATAGATAAAAGAGGCACATCCATAGTGGACTATGACCACAATGAGGTGAGAAGCACAGGTAGAAAATGCTTTGTACCTGCCTAATGTGGAAGAGAATTGGAGGATGGCAGAAATTATGTGAACGTATGATGCCAAGATCAACAACAGAGGGATAACCAGGACCAACACACAGAGCAGGAAAATGGTGATCTGAGTGAAGTGGGCATGGTGGCATCATCACTTGAGAACAGGGGAGATGTCACAGAAAAAGTGACGGACTTGGTTGGACGTCTGGAAGGGCAGGTGAAACACCAAGGATGTGATAATCTGTGCCACAGTGAAGCCACAGACACAGGCAGCAGCTACTAGCCACACACATACATACACAAGTACATGGGGTGTGAAGGGCCCTGTCTAGCACAATGGTGGAGATAATCACGGCATTGGTGCTCAAAGTAAACAAATAGAGGAGCAGGAAGACTATGAAGAGCAGCAGCTGCAGCTCCGCCAGAGTCGAGAAGCCAAGGAAGACAAACTCCTTCACCACAGTCTTGTTTACACACTCCATGAAGGCCCTGTCACCAGCGTTCAGTCCCAGGCAGGGAGGGGAAGTCCTTATACCTTAGCAGAAGCACAGAGACTGACAGCGGCACTGCCTGTGCTCCCAGGGTTTATTCTAAACTCGCCACTCCTCCTCCTTCACATTGCAATGAAGATTGGAACTCCCGCTGCGGTCCACAAGAATTGTCTTCACAGTAGTTCTGGTAACACAGCCTCAGAGATCTTAAGTTCTGAAAATGTGCATCCCACATGGCAGGAAAGAGGAATGTGCATCCTTGCCTCTATTATTTAATTTAGCTTATTCATGGTTTTATTTATAGGTGCTTTGTAGTTAGACTTCATTCAAATCACACATTTGGGAAAGCTTTTGCTAATTTCTGATAAAATTGTTTCTTCCTTAGAACTCATGTAAAGAATTGAATGAAAAACTTAACATTACCTTCATTTTTGAAATACTGTATTGCATTGTTTTCATAGCTTTCTTCAATACATTTGTACCCTTGAGAGAAAGATATGAATTTGACAAATATTGGACTCAAATTTTCCTGTGTGTCTTGGAACACATTGTGCACTTAACAGTTTCTCACAAATCACTATTAACTATCTGCAAGGCTAAGCTGCTGTCATTGGCCTCGGGTCTGGATGGGCTCTTAGGAGAACGCAGAATCCCCAGGGCTATTTCTTCTTGGGCATGAGGATTGCTTGCTCCATTGTATTTTAAGGATTTATGTGTCAATGGCCTAGATGTCACCCATGCAAACCTTAAAGGCAAATTTAGTTTAAAAATTAGGAAAGCCCCGGGTGATGGTGGTGCACTCCTTTGATCCCAGTACTCGGGAGGCAGAGACAGGTAGATCTCTATGAATTTGAGGCCAGCCTGGTCCACTGAGTGAGATCCAGGACAGCCTCCAAAGCTGCAGTGAAGCCTGTCTGGAAATCCCTCCCCCATCAAAAAAAGATAGGAAAGCACCAGCATTTAATCCCAGCACTTGAGAGACAGAGGCAGGGGAATCTCTGTGAGTTTGAGGCCACCCTGGTCTACAAAGCAAGTTCCAGCACAGCTAGGGCTACACAGAGAAACCCAGTCACAAAAGCAAGAAAAAAAACCAACCCCTCAACAACCAGAAATCATTAACCAAACAAACAAACAAAAAAAACACAAACAATAAAAAATTAGGAAAAAGAGGGGCTGGAGAGATGGCTCACAGTTAAGAGCACTGGCTGCTCTTCCAGAGTTCCTGAGTTCAATTCCCAGCACTCAGATGGCACTTATGCATCTGTCTGTGATCCAGCTCAAAGTTATTTGACACCTTCATACAGACATAAACACAGGCAAAGCACCAATGCACATAAAATAAAGGTAAAATCATCTTAAAAATGAGGAAAAGGCACTGAGGAGAATGTGGGTTTGGAGTTGTGTTGTCTAGAGTTATTCTAAGCTTGGGTGCACTTGCTACTCTCTAGAACATAGGAACCTATGGAAGTGAGAAAGGCATACAAATATAACATTGCATGCATCACATTTAAAAACAATTAGAAATTACTTTAACTAATATTAATAATTTAAAAAGTTAGCAATATAGCCTACCTTACAAGAGATCTCAATAGAAGCCATCAAATAGTAAGAGGAAATACTTAGATGTGAGGCTACAATAATTTTTCAGGCACTAGATGTGCAGTATTAACAAATAGATGAACAGGTCCCAGGCAAGACATCTATCTATTTGCTAAGGGGCGAAAGATAAAACGCATTCAGTAGAAGAGATCATTGTTAAAGTTGTGATGATTGAAACGGATACAAGTAGAAGTGCTGTGTATTCAAAATCAATGTATTCAACTTATCTTTGATACTTTTATTTGTTATATTTGACTAAAGCACTCTGGGAACAACATTCATGAAACTGGACACTATTCACTATTTATAATTTTAATCCAAACAGACAAATAACTCTGGTGACCACAATGACCTGTCCATGCTTCCAGAGGAGAGCTGTCTTGTTTCTGGTATATTTTGTTTTTATAATTGTTCTTAGCCTTCCTCAGACCTGGGAAGAGACAGACATCCTTTTCTTCCCCTCACTTATTCTTCTGGTTACTTGCCCAAAGCCTCACATAAAGCACTTATTGACTGATAGTTTGGTGAAACTATTCTCAATTCTAAGTCCAAGTTTTTTTAATTCTTGGCCTGCTAGTGAATTTCTGCATGTCCTCATGTGAAGTTAGATGACATTCAGGCAGATATGGGCTTTACTTTTGACTCTGACCTGTTGGATGCAAATTCTATAACTGATTTTTTACTGTTCTGGTGAAGTGAGCAATTTCTGTTTCTCAAGGCTAGTAGGGGTTAACAGAGATTATACACACACACACACACACACACACACACACACACACACACACAC